AGCCGCAGTCAGTCAGCATTAAGAAATGATGGGAACCATAGTGGGTGATATCCATCCCTAGTTTCTACTTACCTCAAGAGTTGGTGCAGGGTCTATAGACTGACATTCTTCACACATCCATATAGCTGATCTAATGGCTGCTTTTGTCGTTGATGGGCAGACTCTACTGGCGAAGTAGGTAGTGCACTGCACTCCTGGGTGACCACTGTTCCTGTGGATGGACATGATTTGGCCTGCGTCCACTTTGTCCACATGGGTGGTGCCAATCAGTGGCCCAGGTCCATTGCTTCTCTTCATTGTGTCAAACCATTGCTGTGGTACTCTCGTCAGCCAATCAGCTATGTTCCGAGCAGATGGAACCAGTGTCACATCCACGGTCAGCTGATACTCTTCTACAAGCTCCTTGAGAGTGTTCAGCTGCCTCCTGATGAGCATTTTGTCTGCCGCCTTGGTGTGAACTAGCGCTCTACCAGTCAGAGTATCCAATACCCAGTGGTAGCATCTTGCTCTGCCACTGGAGCGTTAGATTGACACCTTCCAATATGGCACCAGCTCAGCCAGGTTCAGGTATTGAGCGTCGTCTTTAGGTCGCAACCAGCAAGCATCCTCCAGCACTGTTTTGTGGCTCTCTAACGCCACTCTGGTCACCAGGGAACTTGCATCGACCCACATGTTGAGCTCCCTGCCATCCATGCACCACTCCCCTCGGGCTGGATCGTCCCGCTGCACAGAATCCATGATCTCAGACACCATGCGCTGGAGGAGGGCATCCTTTGTTTCATCATCCCAGCCTTTCATAACTGAACTTGCTCTCCACTTGAGCATTCCGCAGGTCACACGAAGTCAACCACACACTGGGAGGTGCCCAACAAGCCTTCCACACAGAGATAACACTTTCCATTGTGTAATGACACCGAGGAAATTAGGAATGTTCTTTAATGCGGGTCACGGGAACGACATCTTCATTGAAATAGATGTCGTCAATGTAGGCAGATGCTGTGTGACCCACAGTTTCTTCCTGAGCCAGCATCGGGCTAATAACTCTCCTACAGTCAGATCTTCAACATTCGGTGCCTGTCGGAGTGCAAGGGAGACCCTATCAGGGAACCCCATGACGAAGGCTAGTTTGGTGAGCATTTCCATCTCGGTTCCCTCGAATCCAGCCAATCCAACAAGCTGCCTGATTTTGTTAGCATAGATGTCCACTGGTCCACCTGACCATGGTCTGCTTTCTGTGTGCTGAAAACACATTGTCCGTAAATGCCTGCTTCAGCCTGGATTTAATCTGATCAATGCCTCTCTGATCTTCCTCCTCCATTTCCATGTAGAGGGCTAGTGTGTCCCCCTCCAGGTACAATGGTAGCAGGCTAGCCACATTGTCCACCTGCTGAAGTCTTGCCACCAGCCTAACCTTTTTCAGCCATGCCACCACATCACCCTGGCTGGAAAACAGTTTTATAACGTCACTGCTTATGTGAACCTTCGACATAACCACCAAAATAGCTTGTAGTAAACAAAGAGAAGAAAGTGATGAGAGGTGGGTCAGATAGTGCGGTGCGCCATTCGCCGGCAGACCAGCTATTCTTCGTTCGCCATCGGTCGCTTCAAGGAAATAGATCGCAAGACTCCCTTTCTCAGCCATTACACCGGGCAGTTGTGAAACAGACACCAACTCAGCAGCAACTACATCGACTTCCTCTTTATCCGTCAGTCAATTTGTACATCCAACTCTATTGCACAAAGTCTGCCAAATGACTCCCGACCTTCTGATTGTGCTGCTGGCATCTTGCTTTTTATACCAGTCTGATACGACTGAAATTTGTATGTGTGCGGATATCATCTCGTTTGGATGAGATCGCCGCTCATAAATTGCGTCTTTGATAGCGGCCATATTTATTTTCCTCATAACTTTGCAGGCAAGACACGTTCGCACTCGTCTTGAACTTTGAGGTAAGTCATGTCTTTTGTTACAAAAAAGTACTGAACTGTTACATAATATCAGTAGTCCTTGCAGCAGTGAATATTAGATGATCTCCTCAAAAATGAAGAGACTTGAAGCAACAGAAATTTGGTTCTACAGAAGGATGCTGAGAATATCATGAACATATGACCAATAACAAAGTTTTAAAGGAAATGGAAACAAAAAGGACAATTATACTATCAGAAAGAGAGTTGAAATCAGAGCTACAAAGGATAAGAAACTGAATTGACATGATCACCAATGTCTTGAAAATACACAGTCTATAGAAGATGAAGAAAAAATAATGAATAAAATAATAGGGCAGAATGACACATTTATCCTTATTAAATGATTTAGTCTAAAAGACAACAAATGAAAATGGATAAGATCCATCAGACTATTTTGCTTTAGACACCAATCAATGTTATGACTGAAGTACATGTGATTTCCAATGATTCTCCAAGTGGTTATATAGGATACATGCATATGACAAACAGTTGGTGGTTAGATTTTCAAAAAAAAGTTCATCAAAAAGCTGTCCTTTAGAAATATCTATAATGTGAATATTTTCTGAGGTTTTCTCCCTTTTTTTTTCATGAATTATTCACTTTTTTTTTATTAATGAGCATATTGAATATAAAAAAAAAAAAAAAAAAAACTATTCTGCACTCTGTGGAATGTATTTTTATTTAGTGTGTTATCTGCAGATGTTACATTTTTCTCTCCTAAAATATTCTATTGAATATTCCCCAATTATCACTAAGGCTGACAGAAGCAGAGAGTGATGTAAATCCAAAATATCTTAAAACATTTTGTATCAAACACAATGCAGTTTTGCAGTTCTTTCATATATTATTTTGTGTGCCATGCTGTGAGATGATATTAAAAAGATAAGAAATTATTTCAGTTTCAAGCAACCTGTTCCTAATATTACTTTTGGCCAATAATCTTAGAAAATGCATGAAATTATTTCAACATCTTGCCACAGGGCCAGCTATTATTCTTTCCTCTCACCATTAAAATTGAATGAATCAATGTTCAATTAGGTTTAAATAATTTCAGAATAAAACTCATAGAACAATGCAACAAGGCAAGTCCTGATGTTGTTTTTATGCAAGTGGTACGTCATATTGGCAGTGACTCCATTTTCACACTTAAGATAAAAATTCCTATTTAACTGATTGCAAGGAGAAATTATAATATTGAGGTGGAATTGCAAGATATGCATTGTGCATTTATAAGCACAGAAATGAAGATGGTTAGACAAAATGGAAAATCTATAAATAACATATGTCTGGTCTCTGGCTTCTTCAGAAAGAAAGACAAAACTGTATGTAATGAAAAAATGCATTGGGATCTCTGACGATAAGGGGGGGGTAAATTAAATAACCTTACTGAATCCAATGACCAGACTCAAGAGAGTGTCAGCCTGCTTCTTTATTATATATATATATATATATATATATATATATATATATATATATATGGTGGACTCTCCTGTTGTATTCAACATATGAGGATCAAGCAGCTCGGTTCTAGGAACCGACAGCCCAGAACACCAGCAAATATGATTTGATTATAGTGGTGCAGGTTTTGTGTAGAACCAACCGCACTTTTTGAATTTTTAATCTTCAAGGATTAGCTGGAGACATCAATGACACAAGCGAAAATCACCCGAGACCTGGGAAATCAGCCTTTCTGATGTAGGATCATCTGAAGGGTGACCAAGACTTTTGAGTTCAACCATCAACATGAAGAGGATCTGCAACATGCTGTCAGTAGGGCCCAACTTACCCAGCTGTGTCCACTATCCACATATTTCTGTGCTTCCAGCTCAATGATAAATTTGAGGTAGACAACTGCTTTTCTTTATAAGAAGTAAGTAGACGGTTTTACTGTAGACTAAAGCCTGCCTTCGAACAGACTATGGATGGAGCTAATTAGTATGAATTCTCTATTTAAGCACATAGTTTTTACATATTACAAGTCTGCCTGAGTTAAATAATATTTCCCAATTTGATTTTGTACATAAAATGAACACAGCACCCATTGATTTAATATTAATGTATCTGGATAAAACTTTTTTTTCTTTGTTGAATATAAATCTGATTTTGTTATTCTTTGTTTCCTTGCACCCAAAACTAAATCAACTTAAGACTTCCTAAATAAAATAGGCCAGTTCTCTGTTTCATCTTACTTAGTCCTAGCCTGTCTGGTCTTGAAGTCAGAACACTACATTCACTTATCTGAACTTGCTTTTGCGTGTAAACCCCAATTCTTAGCTTGTTAACTTTTTGCCATATTACTGTTTCCTTGCCTTATTACTGTTAATTTGCCTTGCATATATTGTTTGCTTGCCTTATATTATCTTTTGCCCTTGTCTTTTCTTTTTCTTGTTTATTGCAAACTTTGTCAAATCTGTTTGTTGGGCAGTTCTGCAATTTATTTACATTTAATTATGGCCACTCACTACACGTAACAATGAAGATAATAATGACAAAATGGAAAACCAAACAGTTTAGGGATGAAGTCTACACAGAGAAACTTTATCTCCATTTGCCTTTAAAGCTTAAATCAAAGGTTTAGTTTATTTTATATTTTTTATGGCATATCAACCTCAACAGGTCATTTAATGCCAACAATATTTTTAGGATAAGTTCATATGAATACAATATGTATTATTTGTCAGAAATCAGTTTGTAGAAGATAAGGTTTCATTGATGTATTTTTGTAAAGAGGGTTTTTGTCAAATGTATTGTTGGTAATATTTTTTTAAAAAAAAAAATGGTATTGCAGTTTTTATACTTTTTGGGCATTTTGACCCCAGTTTGGAGATTAACTATTTGCTCAAAACTTAGACCCTAACAGGTGCTACTACCCCAAGTCAGGGTGGGCCCAGGAACAACAGCAATTAAGAAGTGGTTCCATGCTCCTCAAAACCTCCTGATTAGAGGCCTTGCTGCCAGATGTAGTTTATCATCATACCCAGGATGGTTAAATCAAAGGAAAGCTTGGAATTAGACATAAAAGTTTTACTTACAGGTCATTGTAGAGCATAGCCAAATCATTTCTTGCATTAATAAGAAAGGCGTTGTTACGACCAGGGTGATCGACATCATGGATGATGGCTGAGATGAGACAGGACAGTTCATCCATTTGGTCAAAAACAGCCTACAAAAGAAATTGCCAAAATAAAACCCTAGTTTGGTTCAAGGCCTATTAAAATACTCAACAATAAAAGAATGTAACAACAAATGCAATGTCAATCTTTATCTTCTGAATTCCTCTACTTTTATTCTTCTCTTGCCTTAATGATGCTTTCTTTTTCTTGTATTTTTTCACACTCAATCACCTCTTGAATTTTAGTGGCTTTATTGCCTTGCTTGAGGTGAAATGATTAAAAAAAAAAGTGAACTTATGTACAAGTTGGATGAATAACAGATAATGTTAAAAGCATATGTAAAGAGATTTATGGAACGGTTTCATGTCTTTCTATCAGGACAATAGAAGGTTACAGACTCAAGTGAAGATTCTGTCAACTAAATTTATCTTGGCTTATGGCCATATCACATTGAATATCAGATGTTTTAAGCTTGGATATGCAGGTGGTGTAATGGATAATGGCTTAGAATTGGGGATCAGTGAGCCGAGTTCCAATTCCAGTCGAGTTTATTATATTCATTTACATGCAAATGCCCTTGGCAAAAGTATCAATCCACTTCTTTTCTTCAGCTTAAACAAATTCATGTCATCGGCACTTTCTTCTTCTATTATTTTCTTTCACCTCCAACCAATTCTTGCAAAGCCAAATGGTCTTAGGGAATAGATGACAGGATCATGTTTTGTGAAACTGGAAGCTTCTAGTCTTGGACCGTGCATGTTGATGGCAAATTTAATCAACACCATCACCATAAATTCTTGGATACAAGATAAAGTTGATGATACAATGGTTTATCATAAAATAATAATTGGTACATATTGTCTAGGAATATTTCATTAGAAATGAAGAAAAGAGTGCCAAACTGTTATTTAATATCAGTCCTCCTCTATGGCAAATGAATATTGGGTAATTTCCTCACAGCTGAAAAAGAAACTTGAGTCAACAGAAATGTTGTTCTACAGAAGGATGCTGAGAATAGCATGGAGTGAACACATCAGTAATGAGGAATTTTAAGGAAAATGGAAACTAAAAAGGATCTTATACTTAGAATAAGAAAGAGACAAATGAAATTTCTAGGACACATAATCAGGAAAGAAGACTTGGCAAATTTGATTCTCACAGGACATACTGAAGCCAAGTGAGAAGAAACCTACCTAATGAAAAGACCAACCTTGGTAAGAGCTATAAAGAATAGGAAGTTGTGGAGAGCTATGATCGCCAATGTCCTGAAGGGACACAGCACATATAAGATTGTCAACTCAGTTGCAAAACACTTTCAAAGAAACATATTATAATTGGCCTACAGATAACAAATATGAGCAACTCATAATAAGACAATAAATATTAAAAAATAGTTAATAAGAAAGATATCATTTCATGCAAGGCAGTAAAGCCACTAAGACACAATGGGTTACTGAGTGTGGAAGAACAAGAAAAAAAAGAAACATTAGGGAGTGAGAGGAATAGAAGACTAATCAAGATATTAAATAGTGATTGACATTGCATTTAAAAATTTTTGAAGATCAAAGTGAGCTTGAAAGCATGAAGCTGGAAGAGAGTTCCACAGGTGAGAAGTGTGAGAAAAGAAACTGTTAGCATAGAACTTATGGTTACATCTAGCTAATTCAACTTCAAATTGATGAAACCTTACTACCAATCTAGTACGGCACTTAAATTCACAAAGTCCAGGTATTGTAGTGAAAAGTTCCTCTCCTCTTCCATCCATGGCAGTTGTCTTATTGTTTTACTATTAAAATAGCTCAATGTAACTGTAAGATTTATTCTAAATGTCTCTTTTCTTGCACTTTTCACCTGTGGAACCCTCTTTGAGTTTATTGCTTCCCTGCAAACTATATTCTTCAAAAATTTAAATGCAACATCAATCCTAATCTTCTGTCTTCCTGAAGCCTGTTCTTTTATTATCCTTTCTCTTTAATAAAATCTTCTCATTCTCTTTCATTCTCAGTAACACCTTGCATTATCGCCTTACTTGGGGTGAAATTATAAAAAAAAAAGACATTGGGCAGTTGCATTCACTTTGCCTTGAGAAAACAGGAATCTATAGAACATCATCTATAGTTAAGTAAAACAGTTGAAAAAACTGGGCTTTTTTAGACTTGGTAGGGTAATAAATCTAAGAGGATGCCAATTCTGAATTCAAAACCAATCAAGGCAATAGGAGACCACTCCACTATCTTTCCAAAGATAAGTAATGCCAATTCACAAGTTATAATTAGCCCTCTTCCTGTGAAATTACAGATAACATAAGGATCTTTAGAGAAAGCAAAGAGAAAACCTGATAATATTTATCTATTTATATGTGAGGAATGTTTAACCATTTGGAATGGTAATATTTTTATATAGAATATACTGTCAGTCACTCCAGTACAGCCACTATTTTACTGTCTTCATCACAATCGATAAATTGTCTTAATTTTCTATTTGGTTCATTGCCAAGCTAAGGTGGCTCAGAACAAAGAAATTTCTTCTAAAGGTTCACATCAACATCTCCAGAGCAACCATTGTTTATAGTGACTTCTTCACCACCAACAAATTGTCATGTATCACTATTTGATTCACTGCCATAGTATGAAGACCCAAGACATTTTTCACAAGATAACTAATCAGTCACTTCCAACTTGAAATCTATGACTAGAAAGAAAATCTATGACAGTAGAATTAATGTTTTGAAAAGATGTTAGTGATACAAAAACTATAGGTAGATAGATTGGTAAGTAGGTAGATATGAATGGTAATGGTAATATTAGATTTATACTATATAAGGAAACATTTGGCATTCATTGACCAAGCAGGCAGTGCTACCTTCAGTTAAAATTCATAAAACCTTTCTGTTAAAACAATTTTTCAGAAAATAGGTTTCTCAAGTCCACTGTTATCGCTCTTTCCAGTGTTGACAGTGGTTTCCTTCCTAACATTTTGTTTGAAGTAGTGTGGAATGTCAAACTCTTAAGTCATTATTTTCTCTTTGAGTTAAATGTGCAATCCATTTTAACTGTTGCTGCTGTGGAAAATTTTCAAGTGATCTGGTTCCTGTTATTTGGTACAGTTCTTTGTTTATAGTGCCAGTTCACAAGTTTTGAAGAAGAATGGTTCTCACTAAAACTTAGTCTTCATTTACTTGAGGCCATTTTAATCCATCGATTTTAGAATGTGGTTGTATACAACAGACTTTAGATATTTCTGGATGAGTTTGATCGCATGCATGGCATCCATATACAAGTCTTGACCTGACTATGCCATTTAAGGATATGACTAGAATTTTTAGGTTAATATTTTAGCTTTGTAGCAATTTGTGGTGTTATACAAATCTACCCCTAATGGAGACTGTTCTATATTTTGTTTCCTTATCTCCTATAGCAAATTTCTTATAATTTGATTGATAAACCAAGGTATTTGAAGTGCTTAGTATTTAATAATTTCACATCCTGAATTTTTATGATGGCTTCAAGGTAGGTGCCACAACTGCTTTCATCTCAATTCCAGATCCTAGTTTCTGCTTTGGAAAGGTTTATATATTAATACAAATCATTAAGGAATCTGTGAGGAGTAAGATACAAGAAAAATAACAATTTACATTATTTACAGATGGACTATTATTCCCATCTTTTGGCCTTTGTGAACCAAGTGGAAATGGGGCAAGCAATACTAAATAACTAGACAAGGTATCCCTGGACATAGAGAGCAGAATGAGAACACCATAGATTTATCACCATAGATTAAATAAAGATTTGAATTTAAAATTACTTTAAAGTTATCTGGATTGACCTGATGAAGCCCGAAAGGGTATAACAGTTGAAACATGATAACAATAACAAAGATGATAAAATAGTCTGTATGTAGACAATGATAAGTCCTTGTTACATCAGAATTTCAGATGCTTTTTTGTTTTTAATTAGTATCAACCCATGTAAGGCAGTAAAGACACTAGTAATGGGATTAAATTCAAAAAGTCTAGGTACCAAAGTGAAGAGCTCATTCAAAGAATTACCATGAAAGCATTTATAGAAAAGAGAAACAGAGAGGCAATATATATTAATAAAAATATATTAATTAACAGACATCAAAAAATAAAAGAATCAAATAAAAATAAAAAATAGTAAGCTTACTTTGTATCGCTGTTGTTCAAGAAAGAAAGACGTAGCATGAAGGACATCAGCAGCATGTGTGGAATTGTGGTAAGAGTTTGAGGCATGGTACTTGCCCTCAATCATCTGCAGCCAGTTCATGAGGCAACTCTCACTGATACGCAGAAATTCACAGGCACCAAATCGTGATAAGATTTTCAACCCTAAATACACAAGCGGCCTGAATAATAGAAAAATGGACACAGATGACACAAAAATGATAGAATGTAGCCATTCAACTACCAAACAAGACTAAAACAAAAGTTTTAATGTCTTATATGACACCCACATTACTGAAAATAATATATTAATAAAGGAACAAAAATTTACCATTTCTTATATTAAACCTTATTAAATAGTTAATGTTTTGGTTGGTTGATTCGGGTTTTTTTATCAACCCATTGCAGGTTATTTAAAGCCAGGAAATATTTTTACATTGTGAGCTTTTATTTGAGATAATAATGATTTAGTGATACAAGTCTTATTCATTAACCCATAGCTGGAGGGAGAAGTGGTGGATTCATACCATTCCCAAAGGTATTTGTGCATAAATGAATATAATGAATCCAATTGTAATTGGAACTCGGTTTTCCAATAAATATTTCCTAGCCATTTCCATTACACCTCCCATACATCCAAGCTTACAGCACCTGATATTCCCAAGCAATCACCTATCTAGATACCTACCAGGCTAAACATTGCTTAACTTCAGTGATCATATGGGAACTGATGTTTCAATGCTATATGACTATAAGCCTTTAATGTTTTGGGGAATTTAACACTCACAGGACACATTGAAAGCAAAAGTTTTATCTTTACAAGAGTCAGATTAAACTAAAAATGAAGTGTTGTTGCTATATCTAGGCTCGATCCTCAAAACCCTTCTCGTGGCCTTGTTAGGGAAGACCTGTTCCTCATTCTGTAACTTTTTTCCTACCAATGAAATATTGTAAACTCATCATTAGTCTATTGTTATGTCAATGGTAAATGTTCAAATAAGCATCACCAATTCTGACCTATACTGCGACAACACACCCTGGAGTCGCATCTTCATCATTTCCTCTGTATTCCAAATCTAAGCAAAAAGTTTCATCCTGATAGCTTTTTCCCTAATAACATCTACTTTTCAGAACAGACCCCCCAAATAGGTACTTCCTTGAACAGTACATTCTAAAACCCTTGAAAAGGAGTCAATCATTATCTATCCTCATGCACTTCAATTCCCCTCCCACTCCTATCTCACAACTCATTCATCATAACCATTTTAACTGTGGCTGTTAAGCCTTTTACTGGGTGAACTTCAGTAATAAGAAAATTATTAGTAATTTTGACAATTATTCATTTCATCTAAATTTCTGTTGCTTTTTACCATCACTTCTCAGATTGGTATTCTATGGTTACTAATAAACAGAGCAGATTTGAAATAAAGAAAAAAAAATGATTCCAGTGAGATTTGAACTCCTATCCTTTGTCAGGAAGGTTTTACTCATTAGGCTTTTAGTCTCACTGGATTTAGAATCTCAAATCCAACCATATAGTCTTCATTCTATATTTCCCTAGAACATTCACAACCACTTTTAATGTTTGTTTCCATACATTAGTAGTATTAATTGTAATATCTTAAACTTATTATTAGATGAGAATTTGTTATTCATTTTTCACTAATATTTCTTATAATTTCAGTATCTGTATTGCTTAATAACAACTGCAGAATGATAGAGTTGCCAAAAAAGTCAAGATGCTGAAAGTAAGGTGAAAGAAATACTCACCAAAAATTAATAATAATAATAAAATGTTTAGCATCAGTATTTCTATGCTAATCAAGAATAGAATGGGTTGAAACAATTTCAGAATTGAAAATTTTCAAAATTGATGCTCATAATTAAACCCTCATTTTCAAAACATTAAATTCAAGGAATCAAAATGAAGATTTAGTAGATTGGTGAAAAAATTTCCAGTGACATTTTGAACAAAGTTTTTATTCATAGCATTACTATTCAGTTACTTAATTATTTCCACGAGTTTCTATGACCATACATTACTTTCAGGCAAATTGTGTACAAGTTATCATAAAAGAACAATTTCAGTTTAGATCTGAAGAATTCTATGAGAGATTTGTTTTTTTTGTTTTTTGTAAACTGTTAGAACAACTCATGAGACAAGGATCATGGCAGGAAGTGACAATCCCAGGAAAATTACATGTGGAAGAACTTCCCAACCCATGATTATCTTCTGTGCTATATTTGCAATGAGGACAAGTATTGTCATGAAGCAAAATTGTTCGTTAACCACATTCCCTAGAAATGGTCATTTTTGTTCCGATGAATCATTTAAAAAAGCCAATTGCTTCTTTACAGTGTTTTGTATATCCAGGTTAGAGAAATTTGTTGTTTGGTTGATTTGTTTCACAGCATATAAATCTTTATGGGTCATTTAATACTGAAATTTAATTTTCTTGAGAGCTTTGAAGTAATAAAATATGTTATTCTGCTTTCTCAATTGAATACATGGTAGATGATACTCAGCTTATGTGCATTTACAAGTTTGTGTGGATATCATTACCAGAGGTGATGGTAATGCATGTTTCATGTCATAGTTTGTTCTTTAAATTATATTTTTAATACAGTTTGATTTCAGAAATTGTAAGATATTATATGGATTCATATCATGAGAGAGTTCATTCATGTTGGTTGTTTGATCTTTTGTTTGTTCATTCATCTTTTGATCATTCATCGTTTGATCTTTTGTTTGTTCATTCATGTTGGTTGTTTGATCTTATTTAGCAACATATCAACTGGTATAGGTTATTTAATGCCCAAATCTAAATAATTTGAACAATTTAATTGTTTCAACTAGATATATTTTTAATACACTTCTTCAATTACAGATAAAATGTATTGCTGACCATTTTTATATAAAAACCTATTGCTGGTATTTTTACTATAAAAAATGTATTTTTATATTTTCAAAGTGTTTGGGAAGTTCACTATTTGACCAAAGTCGAGACCCTGACAGGTACTACCACCCTAGGTCAGGGTGGACCTAGGAACAACAGTAATTAAGAGGTGGTTCCATGTTCCTCGCAACTTCTTATCTCCTGCTCAGAAGCCTTATTGCTGAATGTAGTTTATCATCATAGCCAAGACTTACAGCAATAGGGAATTCTCTTTGAATCTAAAAGAACTTTTTCTCCAAAGATTCTGCTTAGGTTAAGATACTGAAAGCTGTTCGCAATCAAATCAAAATATATATTTGTATTTTTCCAATAAATCCATGTTTCATGTCCAGTGACTATCTTGCCTAAAATCACTTTGTTGTTATTAGGCAAGAAAACCAAGTGTACAAATGCTGCCCAATATTAATTTCATAAGTTTGTGTTGAACTCCTTTTCTTATTTTCTGTAATTTTCCCAAGATTTGTAAATGGTGTAATTCAGCTAAGCATAAAGAGAGCCATGTAAAGACTTTGAAGATTTCTATGGAGCATAAAAGATGATGCAGAAAATGTATGCATCAAACTTGTATCTAACAAGGATCTATTTGTAGTAAAGGATTTAACAAGCATATTCCAGCATCAATAAAACCTTACATTCAAGTATTTAATCCTAGGATTATTTTTTTGAGGATTATTATTGTGTTTCAGCCTTTTAAAATGAAGACTTACAGAACCATTAGATTTCACTAAAAGATTTTGTCATTTTTAGGAAATATTTTACAAAAGTTCCACTAATTATTGTAAGGGTCTGAAACATAAGTGGTGACTTCCATAACATTTGAATGATTGAAGCAAATAATTTATTTGGGCAATTGAAATAATAAAAAATATGTCAGAGAGAATAAGGTGCAGTTTTAGACAGGATCATCTCAGCTAATACTACTTGTTCAACTTTTTAAATATACCAGAATATCAATTGCAATCTGCATGTGTGTGTGTGTGTGTGTGTGTGTGTATATATATATATATATTTAGTGTATTAGGGTAGCAGATCATTATTCAAACATATATTGTTAAATATAACAGAAAACAAATGTCTATTATGTTTGATCATGAGCCATTCTAAGATTCGTATAGTGGCTTTAGTTTTGGGAGAAAATAAAGACAAAAACTCGCCAACATTTGGATATTTGTTTATTATGCTGTGCATTGATCTAAGCTTTTGGCTCACATGAATCATCATCAGAGGTGGTTATATGAACATTACAACAGATGTTCACCACCAAAGATGAAATCCTGTTATGTTTACATAGAAGTTTGCTATGCAATGATAACAGTCGTGGAATAGCAGATTCAGGTCGTAAATTTGTAATGCAGTTCTATGACATTGTACATGATCACGTGAGAGAAAGAAATGTTATCTATGTTATTTTCTCCCAAAACTAAAGTGACTATATGAAGCTTAGAATGGCTCATGATCAAACATAAGACATCCGTTGTCTGTTATATTTAACAATATATGTTTGAATATATATATATTAATGTTAACATTCATGGCTGACCGCTTATATCTGAGGATACCCATCTACTAGGGTGGTTAGCTAATCCCTATTGCTGATGCTTGCTCAGTTTATCTAGCATGAGCAACATCTGAACAAAACCAGTATGCTCAAATCCTCAGTCACAATGACTTGTGAGTTCCTGCTAGCACAGCTATTGACAGCCCCCAAGGGTTCTGTCTACCCAGTTCCACTCACAAGGCTTGGGCCAACCCAGGGTATGATGTTCAGGCACTTTTCAAAGTTGCTACACACTAGGATTACCTCCTCCAGACCTATAATATCAAGAAATCACCTTCCTGTCAAATCATCCATGCTGAGATTCAAACCTTGGTCTTGTGGTCAGAATCTGAATGTTCTAATCACTCGCCCACATGCCCATATATATATATATATATATATATATATATATATATATAGTTGGGCTGTGATGCTTGTGATGCTCTCTGTGGGTGACCAAACTAAAACACACCAGAGCAGATATAGTTTCTCCTACAAGGAGACATACAGATTCAAACCTTGCCAGAGAGCACAATTTCTTCATTAAGTTTTCTTGAGTGTGCAAGCTGGTAGATGTAATACACGTTTACATAAATGGGGCATCTATTTAAACATGATGATCCACTTAAAATAATGTTTTAAAGTAATACATATATATATATATATATATATATATATATGTATATATATAATATAAATAAAACAAACCAACCTATTGGTGAAGCTTCCAAATATAATCCTATTGATACAGTCTGCCAACCACCCCCCCACAAAAAAAGAACAGAAAGTAAAAGAAATCATAAACAAAAATAAAAAGGAAAGTCAAACAAAGAGAAAAGAAGAGACAGACACCTATCTAGGCAATAATTCAAAGTGCTCAATGCCTCAAGCAAATCACCTGGCAGAGCAGTAACACTAACCTATATATATATATATATATATATATATATATATATATATATATATATGCTGACATACAAAAAAATCATGGGACAATAACTGAATATGTCAGAAGACGTTTAAAGAGATTTTTATATGAATAGACCTCTCCACCTTTCCCATAAATGCTCAGCTGTGCTTATGTCAGGTAAACATGGTGGCCAACATGAGTCATCAGAAGTCTCCAAAATAATCCATAAACTAGTTCTGAGAAACTAGAGTTCAATGACATGGTGCATTACCCCATTATTGATGAAGCACATAGAGTTCATAAATGGGTGCAAATAGTCACAAAGCAGTGAAATGTAACAGCAACTAAATCAATGATTTGTGCTAATTTGTACAGTGTACCCAATTCTTGACTATTGAGATCCATGTCTTCATGGTATCTCTGCCATGCTAGACTCTTATTATCAGCTCCAAGGAACTGGAAACATGATTTATCAAGTCACACCACATGTTTGATAATTTTCCAGGATCCAATTTGCAATGTTGTGAGCCTGAGTGTAACAAAGTTACAACAGGCATAGACACCATTGTGACTTCTAAGACATCATATAATTTAACACTTTCATTAATACCCATTAGGGCACAGATTGCTAACTAAAAATGGTCCTTCTTGTCACAAAGTACATGGTCAAACCTTGAAACACCATCATATGAAGGGCAACACTTGAGTTTTATATAAAATAAAAGATACAGGGTGCAATGGATAAATTGTCATCTAAATTACCTCCAAAATGAAAGTAACACTGACATTGCATTTTAACAGATGTATTTACCAAAATTACACAAAAATATTTTGAAAATCTAAAGAGTAAAGTTATTCAACAGAATTGCCATTGGCTTCAACCCTGGCTTTAGAACCTCCTGCAACTCTCCTGGACAGTCTCCTTGTTCAAGTTGATGAATGCTGCCATAATCCTTGCCTTCAGTTCACCTTTGGTGTTACAAGGAGTTTTGTTGGTCTCTCACTCAATTGCACCCCACACATAATAATCAAGGGGGCTGCAGTCTGAGGAGTTAGGTGGCCAGATGTAAGAGGTGATGTGGTCACAGAAATTATCTGACAGCCATGACTGAGTTCTCCTGCTTGTGTGGCATGGTGCAGAGTCCTGTTATCAGACAAAGGGCCTTCAAGAAGCCAACCCTCTTGACCCAGTGCACTTGATATAGGATTCTCTGTTGAATCTGAGGCTTTCACCAACAAATTTGAGAGTTCTTTTCTTATCAGAGTGAGCTTTCTGAGCTGCTGTACTTTTGTAAACACCATTAGACTCATCCAACTTTTTCAGAATCCTCTACAATGTCCTCAGATTGACACTGAAACACTAAAAAAAATGTTTGTATTGGACTTCCCATGTGAATGTCAAGCAGTACAGCATGCTGTTTGCAAATTTCTGGCAGAGTGAATTCTATCATGGTGCTCTATTTCTCAGATGGTGCCCAACTGACCCTACTATACTGTGTAGTCAACAAAATCAAAAACAAACAACATGTATGCGTGGAATTGAAAATATAAAATGGCAACAATTTACCCATCGCACCCTGTAAGTGGCTACATCTGTTAATGCTGACAGTAAATTAAATGACCATTTTGAATCAATAAATAAATAATTATTTAAAAAAAATGACTTGTCTACTTTTTTCTGTCTACTATGGTTTAAGAGACAGTAACGTGCCAAAGTATAAGTAGGTGGTTCTGTGGGTTTTTTTAAAGCAATTAGTACACAATTGATGAAATCCTGACAAAGGTTTCAACATCCTTGGCTAATTATGTTTTTAACATTACTTTTTCAAATTCACTTGCACTTAAACAGTTCTAAAATATAAAACATTTTTAAAATAGAGAGAGAGAGAGAGAGAGAGAGAGAAAATGATTGTTTATAATCAATGCTTTTTAGGGCTTTTTCAAAACTTTTGGCTGGTTCATTCTCAAACATTCAAGAGAAATTTTCTCCTATGTAAAATATTGCAAATTTGTTGCCTTGCATACATCAACAATATTTTTAATATGGAAAAAATTCACCTTCAAAAGGTTGAAGAATGCCAGGCTGAAAAGAAATGGAAAATCTAACAATATAAGATAGCCAGTAAGGTAAGTGCCATATGTGATACACACCAAAGCAATCATGTCTCTTTCGATTCATTGACTAGGCAGTAGATTTTCTTGCATATATTGCCATTTCTTTCTGTGTTAAACTGGTTGCCAACCAAGGCTATCGGACCCCATTTTTCCTGCTATTCAAGCTGAGAGGGGAGAGAAGAGATGGATTCATATCATTCCCAAAGGTATTTGCATGTTAAGTGAATGCATTTAACCTGACTAAAATTTGAACTTTGCTCTCCAATTTCTCATTCCGGGCCATTATCCATTGCACCACCTGAACATCTATATAAGATGATGTTTTTTTTAAGAGAATATTAGCAAATTAATTCAACATGTCAAAATAAATAAAATTAGGAAATAGAATACAAGAAATCAAAATAAATTAAAAGTATTTACCGTTTGTTTGTAGCTGTTTCCAGATCAATGATACTGAATTTCCATAATGGTTCCGTTTCAAGTATTACTTGAATGTGCTCTGGCACCTGATTCAACATGGTGGTTGGACTTGATGGAATGTGAAAATGTGAATGATGTGCTAGAAAAGAAAAAAAAAAAAAAAGTACATTTCAATTCAATCTCAGAAACAATCCAAAACTAATTGGACATGAATATGGTTTTATAGTACAAAATACCAGTTGTAAATAACTGAATTTTAATTAGCAATATTTTATCATCCTAGGCATTGGGAAGCAAAAAAAAAAATGTGTCTGGTTCCAGAGAGCTTTCCTCACCTAAGCAACAGGTTATCTTCTCTTTTCATAGTGGGTCTTTAGTCTTCATATATGAGCAAGCTTGTATCAGTACCTGAAGTCTCAGACCAGTATAACATTTCAGACACAAGGAGTTCTGTCACTGATTTCTGGATAGATGACACACATACACTCAGGGTATTGCACCTGTGCACATATCTCCTGTAGGTGTAAATGTCACTACTAAGTTGACTCCTCCTGAAAGTACCTGATTCCTCTTGCTATCCTCTTTCCTCAATAGGAGCATATATGTTCAATCATCTGGTTTATACTCTTCCCCAAACTTTTGAACAGGAGTAGAGATTTATCTGTTGTTTCTACTTCCCTATAAAGTCTGCTTGAACTGTATACTTCTAACTTCTCTGCCTAAAACTCAACTTTTATTTACTATTGAATTACATTTTCTTTTCTTAATACGTTCACTTACTGTTCAGATCACACCCCACCCTAGAGGTTTATCCCTTGTTTCCAGTTTAGGATTGGGTTTCAGGCTCCTTCTAAAAACTTTTCCTTATCTAACCCTCTACCTAAAGTGGCTCGTGGGCCTTTTACAGGGTAAATATGGTAGTAAAAAATATGAAACAAAACAAAAAAAAACCTAGGAATGCATCTCTCAATTGCACTTAAAAGAACAGAGTTAGAATCAATCCTCAAAGAGTTACAAAGTTAATTCCTGAAGTATTCCAAAGAGAAGTACCAGGAAAATTGGACAATTTTTGCCTCTAAACAAACACACACATGCATAAGGGAACCCACATTAAACAAGTCCTTGTGCCACATTCCATGTCTTTTGGAGTAAATGCATCTCTTTCTATGCATAGACAAAATTAAAAACATTGATAGCCATTAATGAAACATATAATAAAACCAACTCAATGAAATCCTCTTCTATATGTTGTGTGCCTTCACAACATTAGGTGACAATGGATCTCCTTAACTTCCTAACCTTTGTAGCTCTTAGTAATTTTTTTTCTTTTCATGATTCCTTCCACTCCCTGTTCTGCTGTCTACACACGCATGCTTACTAGGTAGGCTAATCACAGTTTCCCCTTGTCCCTCCTGCCTTCAAATATGTCCACTGAGAAAATGGTATTTTAAACCATGAAAGGATAACCATATATAAATTGAAATAATTAAAAGTAACACGATATCTGTCATAAAAAGTCAGGATTATTTAAGTACAGATTGGCACTCCCACCTTGGTTCAGAGGGTTTGGAGCACTCTTCTATGTCTCATAAATTGGTGGGGGACAGAAATCTTTTGCAAATTCTTAGTTTGGGAGCAGGATTAAAATAAGCTGACACCACTGGCAACTTCTCTCTTATCAGATAAATCAAGATGGTCAGCACAAAGCATAAAAAACTAAGTCACACAAATCATAATAAGTGGAGATAGTTAAAAAAAAAAAAAGAAAATTATAAAAATGGAAGTTGACCCCGCTCCCAAAATTAGGCATAAGTGACTATCTGTATGCCCTGCCTAGAATCAATGTATCACTTCCCAGCACTTTTGTCCAGTGAGTATTTATCCATACATCCACTCAAATGAAATGTGGCACAAAGTCAAGTTTAAAATGAGAGCCTCATGTGTACATGGAGCTCAAGACAAAACCTATGCAAATCTTGGCATTTTCCCTTTGAGGACACCTCAAGCATCAATTGTAGCCTCCTCCCAGAGGAGAGATATTGACTAGAGTGACTGATTCATAGGGCTTGAGTATATCACTTTACATTCTAAATATGCTGGCAAGAATCAACATTTACCCAATTGTACAAAAGGAAGAGAGTCGCCATACTTTGATGTCTTAATGACAGTACTTGTGGTGATTGTCCATGATTTTATTCTTGGCTCATATGTAAGCAAATGGTCACTCCATATGAAACCAACTATGGGTCACCTCCTATCACTGGGGAGGTGGGTAAATACAGGGTCAGCAAATCATAGGTAAGGAATATTTTCCCTTCAAATTGATTCCCTGTTTATTTTCTGGGAAATATTTTCAAGGCATTCTGTAAATAATTTGTCTTTCCTCCTATAATTATTTTATGTTTCCAAGCAATTGAACAATTGCACTGCTGTTTTTTTATAAAAAACATTGATTGACACAATGTCACCCAGCAACAATCAGTTATTCCATCAGAATAATGCACTATGTCATTGGTTTTCCAAATTGCTTAGGAATTGTTTGTGGAGCATTCTAGAGTTTTAAATTGAAAAGTGTGGCCACCGCATTTTCCTGACATGAGCTCAGTTATGCATTTGTAGGAAGTAGTGGAGAGTTATTTACACACCAGGTCCTGCACTGAGAAATATAAGGGACATGTGGATAGCTATTAACACTTTAACACCCTGACATGGTTGCCATCCTTGATAAAACTCTGTATAAATTGCTAATTTAGAAATCGTATGTTAACACAATGCAGAAATACATTATATTGTCTTTTTCATATATATTATTGATAAAAAATAATGTAATCAAAATTAATGCTTGTCTGGTATTAAAAAAAAGATCTTAAAATATGTTCCACTAGTGGAACAATGAAGGTAGGATGCATGGTTGTTAGCAAAAGGGATGGTCCAACATGCAAATTACAAATTGCAGATACCAAAATCAAACAAGTACAACAATTTAAATATATGGGAAATGTTTTATGAGAGGAGTGCAACATTGAAATCCCAAATGACTAAAGATGATTTCTAAAAGCTAAGCAAAGTATTAAGAAATAGAAAAATTTCATTAGAAACAAAGAAAAGAGTACTGAACTGTTACATAATATCAGTCCTCTTCATATAGGAGCGAATGCTGGGCAATCTCTTTACAGATAAAGAAGAGACTTGAAGCAACAAAAATGTGGTTCAAAAATTTGAATGATGATTTCACATCTTGTGAAGTGTTCCTTGATAAACAACGATGATAAAAATGTATATGAACTTCTTGGTCCAATCCACTTCTCAAAAATCCGACAAAATGATCAACCATCAGAAATCCTTTTTGTTGGCAAAAAGGTACAGCCCAACAAGCAAATTGGAGATACCAATATCAAACAAATACAACAATTTAAATATCTGGGAAGTGTTTTAACAGAAGATAGAAAGTGGCACACTGAAATCTGAAGGTGCATTGGAATCATGAAAGATGCCTTCTAAAAACTAAGCAAAGTATTAAGAAATAGAAAACTTTTGTTAGAAACAAAGAGTACTGAACTATTGTGTAATATCAATCCTACATATGGCAGTGAATACTAGACAATCTCCTCAAAGATGAAGAGACTTGAAGCAACAGAAATATGGTTCTACAGAAGGATGTTGAAAATACCATGGACGAAACATGTGAGCAATAATGGAGTTTTAGATGGAAACAAAAAGTATACTTAACATCAGAAAGACGCAGTTGAAATGTCTAGGGTACATAATGAGGAAAGAGAGCTTGGATAGTAGAACAGGGTTTTAGGAGAGATAACAAAAAGACACAATTTATTAAGTGCTACAAAAGACAGGAAATTGTGGAGAGCCATGATCATCAACATCCTGAAATGACACAGCATGAAGAAGTGGAACAATGGACACTAAATGGTCGAGATGGTATGGCTCAACATCTCTTTAAAGTTCTTCTGACCACTTATGGAACTGATGACACTTTCTGCATTTTGCCATGTTAGAGGATGTCCTACTAAGAGCCTATTCCATGACTTTTCATTTGTGTGTGTGTGTGTGCATGTGTATATAGAGTTGTATATTTAGGCAGGAATCCTTCGTTTATGCATGTTTCATTAAAAACGACAGACAAGGTACTATGGTTAAGCTTTTTATTTGATAATGGCTAAAGGTATAGCTGAAAGCACTTGGAACTATAAAACATTTGGACAGTTTTTACACACACTTTGTCTAGAAAAGAAAACTCTTGTTCGAACACAAGAAAAATTAAATACAAAGCTTAACCGTAGTACCTTGTCTGTGGTTTTTTTTATTGAAACATGCATGCATATATGTAAATGAATTACAGGACTTAGAAAATTCCAGCCTGATATTAAATGCTGTCAAAACTGAACTAGTGACCTAAAATTAATTTCTTAAGAGAAATTTTTTTACTCCATTAACAAAATCAAATTTTTTTCCCCTGCATAAATTTATCAGCAAAAACATTTAATTTTTAATATTCTCATACATACTAACTATTCCTAGAGATTGTTCATCAATATTAAAGAAACCTGAAGATATTTTGAAATGCCAGAAGTGATTCTATTCACTGAGAGAGAGAGGAAGCTAACTGAGATTGATAACTGAAATGGGGCAAGGCCATCAGAAGAAAACACAAGTTGAAAACAATGACAAATGGGAGAAAGTGTTTGTTGACTTGCTTTTCAACAATTTTCTCACAGGGAATTTGGTTCTCTACATATTTGGGGATGCAATGCAAAGTCCTCAAGTTACATACTTTCAACTTTACACATTTTCAGACAAAGAAACAATTTATTTTTTTCAAAGAACAAAATGCATGAGAAAATAATTTTCTCTTGGCATTTAATAGATAATAAAATAGAAAATTATTAAGTTTTGGCCTCTTCAGAATATGGGCGATGCGGGTTCTCGACAACTTCCTTTCCCTTGTAGATTGAAGTAATACTTGTCTTATTATTATCCATCCCACTCTCTATTCAATCATCCATTTAGAGAAGCTCACTTGGTAGGATTTCCCTCTTGCCTTCAGTATGTCCTATGAGTGTTAAATTTTCCAAACCCTCTTTCCTCTTTGTGTCTTCAAAATTTAAAATGTCTCTTTTTGAT